CTTCCTCCCTCCTCCCCCAATCATTCTTTCTCCTTCCTTCCTTCCTTCCTTCCTTCCTTCCTTCCTTCCTTCCTTCCTTCTTTCCTTTCCTTTCCTTTTTCCTCCCTCCCTCCGTCCCTTCCTCTGTCCCTCCCTCCCTCCCTCCTCCCTCCTCTCTCCCTCCTTCCTTCCTTCCTTCCTTCCTTCCTCCCTTCCTTCATTGTCTCCTTATTTTTTAATTTTTATTTTTTTGACAGCTCAGAGAGTTCAGTCAGTAAAGTGCTTGCCATACAAGCATGGTGTGATCCGAGTTTAGGTCTCTAGCATCCACATAAAATACTGGGCACAGTGGCACACATCGGTAATACGGAGGGTGCAGAAACAGGGAGATTCCTGAAGCTTGCTGGCCAGTCAGCCTAGCAGAACCACTGAGTACCAGTCTGGTGGTTTGAATGGTAATGTCCCCCATAGACTCAAATATTTGAACACTTGGTCCCCAATTGGTGGTGCTATTTGTAGGGGTTTAGGAGGTGTGCCTTTGCTGGAGGAAGTATGTTATATGGGTGGGCTTTGAGACTTTATAGCTTTACCATGATCTCCGTTTCCTATTTGCCCTCAGCTTTCTGCTTTGGCTGCCTCCTGCTGCCATGCTCCCTCCACCATTATGGACTCTCACTCTGGAACTGCAAGTTCAGATAAACTCTTCTGTAAGTTACCTTGGCCATGATATTTATCACAGCAACAGCAAAGTAACTAATACATCCAGGTTCACTGAAAGGCCCTGTTCAGAAAAATAAGGTGAGGATTGATTGAGGAAGACACCCAGTGTCAGCCTCTGGCCTCCATCTGCACACACATGTGTATGCACATCCACATGCACGCCTTTACATACCTACATGAATATGTACATACAAATAAACCAGAGAGAGAGCGAGAGGTGCATGTGTGTGAGAGAGAGAGAGGGAGAGAGAAAGAGAGAGAGGAGCACATATGCCATGGCATGTAAGTGGAGGTCAGAGGACAACTGTGTGGACTTGGTTCTCTCTATGCCTTTCTTGGTACTGCACTCAGGTTCCCGGACTTTGGATTTTTTTCATTGTCAAAATTGTGTGCGTGTGTGCATGTGCGTGAGAGAGAGGGAGAGAGAAAGAGAGAGAGGAGCACATATGTCATGACATGTAAGTAGAGGTCAGAGGACAACTATGTGGACTTGGTTCTCTCTATGCCTTTCTTGGTACTGAACTCAGGTTCCCGGACTTTGGCAGTAAGCACCTTTACCTACTGAACCTTCTCAGTAGCTCTTAAGCTTTGCTTTTACTATGAGACAAGGTATAGTAGTTTCCTAGGCCAGTCTTGAACTCCTGGACTTAAGTGATCCCTTATCTAAACTTCCCAAGTATCTGTGATAACAAGACTTGTATGATCACACCCTTTCTTATCTTTTCTTTTGATCAATCCCAGGGTTTTATAGTTCTTAGGAAAATGCTCTTCCACTGAGCTATACCTCTAATCCTGTCTAAAACCTTAATAGAACATTCTATCAAATTTTTACTGAAAAAAATAATTATCAAGTGCTATGCTGGACCTCTCCAGTACATGACTATGGCACCTAAGAAACAGTAACATGACAAAAACTATGTGACTGGTCAATGACCAGTCACTGCTTCACATCAGTACTTGATCTCCTCATCAAGTGATCTGCTTTCTCGAGGAGACGTACACCTGGATAACGAGAAGCCTAATTAGCATATTTCCTAAGCATATTAGTCTTAGGATAAACTCCAT